GGTTTTCGGGGCTCGAAGGGTGTGCGGGGGGCTTCGGGCCCGGGGACCAGTTTAGGGGCTTCCGGACCCTTGCGGATTCAAGGGCCTTTGGGTTTTTCGCGGTTCCAGGGGGGCTTTCGGGTGTATGGGTGTTGTTTTTGCGAAATCCCAAATTGCTGGCCAGGCTGCGGGTCCACAGTACTACTTCTGACACGCAAACCCACAGCCTAAAACATGCAAAGCAAAACGCCGAGGGCAGCCTGTTGTGCAAGAAAAGGTGGAATAAGAAGCCTGTGAGCCCAATCATTCAAGCCTAAACCCCAAGCCCTTAAACTCAAACCCTGAACCCCAAAACCCGAAAACCCCCAAACCCTAAACCCGAAACCCGAAACCCTGAACCCGAAACCCTAAACCCTGAACCCTGAACCCTACTATAGGTTCCCCCCCCCCCACAAACCCTAACGAGTTCATGGGAGCTGTCAGCCCCAGGAGCCCCTGAATCGCAGGGTCTTGTGAGGTTTTTGTTGAAGTCTTCAGGCCCTTTTTGTTTCACAACTAGAAGGGATTGTAGTACCCCCCTACTATAATCCCTATTACTTACTGAAAAGGGCCCGATTATAGTACCCCCCTACTAGTCGTGGGATCAGCATAGGAGGTTTTAAGGAGCTCAGGGATTGAGGGTCTCGGGTTTGGCGCAAAAGGCTGCTTGTCGGTTGTGGTCTGGGGGGTCTATTCTCGAATCGTGTTCTTGCCCACAACACAAGGGCATGACACTGTAGTGGTTTGTAGTAGCTCCTCGACTCCGCCTTGGGCACTTCTTATCTTCAAGGCTGAACCCATGCCCAGGCCCGTAACCTGGGAAACGATGCTGGGGTTTTCGAAAAAAGGGGTGCCGTTTGTGTGGCATCCGCTTGAACATCTACGCCGCTTTTTTTCCCCTTTCCAATACTTCATCCGCAGGTCTGCCAGAAAGCTCAGGACCCCTTGCGTCGTGCCAGCTGCCTTTGGGAGGTGAGGCCAGCGGGGTCGGGCTAGTTTCCCAGCCAATGACAAGGGCACCCCTTGATAGGTCTGAGTCGGTCTGAGGGGCTGACATACTGAGGATCCCAAGCTGCATTTAGGGTTCGATGTTGCTCAAGCATGTAGGTGAGCTTCAGCATTTTCGGAATCTCGTGAGGGCGGTGAGAGTTCTAAGACTAGGTACCCTGCTCTGCATGGTTGCCATAGCATAGATCATGGGAATAGAGGGTTCAGGGCTTCTGCTTACCAGCTTGCCTGGCCTCAGTCGCTGTCGATCTCGATAGGGCCTGCATGCACACGAATTCAAGGAGGTCTGGCTCGGAAATTCGGGGGGGGGGGGGGGTTTTCCTATCACAAGGATTGTCGTATAGGTATATGCGTGTGTATATATACACACACACTTTTTTTTTTTTTTTTGGGGGGCGGGGGGGAGGGCACGCGAAGGGACCCATACTTCGGGAAATGCCCATTCATCATACCTACCCTATACCCTAAACCTGCCAGAGCATCCCTTCGTGGGTTTCAGGGCATAAGATTGCTGCCATTACCGGAGATGTCAAGCTTGCTAGGGTGTGGGGCTGAGGGCTAGGGACTTTGGGTTTCGGGTTGCATCATGATGAACAGCATGGAGTGCTTTGGCTTCCAGCTCATTCTCGGACAGAGCCCAACGAAAAAAGTGCGGTAGTTCTGGTCTTCAGTCTGGGTTTGGGACTTAGGTTGAGTGGTTATCTAGCAGCCGACAGTCCTGGTGTCGCACACAGGCCTGCGCTGATCGAGCTAGTTCTATTGCTGGCTTGCTGCAGAAAGTCCAATGCAATAAGCAGCTATCTGTGTGTACTTGAGCTAGGGGCTAGAGGCGTGCAGACTACGTTACTCCGGCGACTCCCAAACGGCCTTTCCCCTTCTCCTTCTGCGATGAGGGTGGTAGTCGCACCACTTTGACTGTTGGCAGGCAGGCAATGTCCAAACAAATCTCACTACTTCAAACAGAGCTCGGGGCATGCAGGACTTGATACGAGCTCTTCTGCAAAGGTTCCCACGTTGAAGCCACAATTGGGAGGACTACGCCTTTTACTTTCTGGGGACTGTGTGTGCTCCAAGCAGTATGCGCGAGCCAAAGAAGTCGCCAAGGTTGGTGCTTGTGAAATTGGAGGGGGTGCTCACCGAAGGTAATCCAGTGCTAAGGGGAAACGTGCCATCCTTGCTGTGCATGGTTCTGAGCGATATCGTGCACCCTCGTACATGGGGGTTTACGAAAATAGGGGTACCCCTTTTATGCCTCAAATAGAATAGAATCCCCCAGCAGGCCGCCAAAGGGGTACCCCCACTTTCGGAGACACCCACATGGCAGTATATGGTTCATCGTACCTTTCTCCAATGTGGTTCGCAATGTGGCTCTGAAAAGGTCCAACACGCATAGCTTTGCGACCCTGTCAACAGTAGAACATGGCATCTCGGGTCGTTTCGTGTTAGCATCTTCTACACCCGCCCCGCCCCCCCAACATTCCGGAGTACCTCTCCTACCGGCTCACAACACAGTTTATGCTAACTGACTGATGGCTTGGCAGTTTTGAGTGGGGAATTACATTGGTATTTGACATGTAGACGAAATATGATGGACCCCATGAGGTGCAAAGAGTGTTGCGGCCAATGCCAAATCGGGCCCGGAAATCGCAGGGAGCATCAAGCGAAGCTACGCCGGGCTTGAGGAGACAGGATACAAGGGGGGTTTTCGAAGGGGAAGGGTGTCTGTCCTTTGAGATTCCTCGCTAGTCATAAGTCCTGCAAACCCTATGAACCCTGAAAACACTGTAAGGCTTGTAAGCCCTAGGAACCACATAGTCCCTCTCAGCCCTATCTATAAACTCCAAGTACTCCTAAATGAAAAATCAAGGAGGCCACGCTGCCTCCTCCTGCAGTCGTCTCGGCGTCCTTGTCCTTCTCTTTGTCTTTCTTGTCTTTCTTGTCTTTGCTTTTGCTGCCTGGGCCACTTCGAGCTCAAATTGGGCTGCTCGAAGAAGGCACTCATAAGGGTCAGCTAGGCCCCTGAAGAACCCGGGACTCGTATGGGGCACCCCCCCTTTTTTGGAAGGGGGTAATGCAAGTGGGTAAACCTGACCCAAAACCCACCCCCCAGTCCCCAAATCCCTGAGGCCCCAAACCCTAAACCTTCTGAACGAAAGCTTACTCTGGGTCGCCATGGGGCTGAGGATGTTTGGGGCTTAGGGTTTAGGGCTTGGAGTCAGAGAGAGAGTCCATATCTCTCGGCTCACATGGGGGCTTCAGAGTTCCCAAAATAGAGGTACCCTTTGTAGGGGTTTCTTTGGAGTTCCGTATTCTTGGGGGGTATATCTAGGGGTAGCCCTGTTTCTACTGCGAAGCAGTTCGGGTACGTCGAGGGCATGAGACGAGCTTGTGAGCTCCGAGGGTGCTCACTGCTCTCCCAACCTACTAGTTGCTTCAGAACCCCCCTCCCCCCAAAAAACCATATAAACAAACATACTAAGCCCTTGTTACCCTTTTAAGGAAGAACATTTAGTTCCTTTTTTACCTTGAGAAGGAAGAAGAGTTCTTATTTTTTGGGGGGTTCTTAAGCAGACAGTAGCTACCTGAAGTGTGGCTCCATTTCTTGGGTTCGGGGGTGGGTGGGAGGGGGGGGGGTTTAGGGTTAGGGGCTTTTAGGGACCATGTGGGCTTCTAGGGATTTTATGGGTTTATAGGGCTTGCAGGGTTTATGGGGCTCATAGGGTTTTATGAGGTTTATACGGTTTAGGGTTCAGGGACTGTGCGGCTCAGCTGTTGACTTTTGTTTCGCTGGGTTGGTGCTTCTTGCGATGCCAGTATGATGACATGGAGCTGCCCGGAATTCACAATAGCCATTCCTTCCGTCGATGTAGAAGATGCTCCTACATCAGCCCTGACATGCTCCCCCTGGACATCGCAAGACGGCCTGCATAAACCCCCAGTATTTCAGAAAATGCCGAACTCAGAAAACCTCTGTGGCCCAAAGCTCCAGAACCTACCTAAACCCTAAACCCTGACCCTAAACCCTAAACCCTAAACCCTAGCGCTCCAAATCAAACCCCAAGCCCAGCAACCCCCGAACATCCGACCGAAGGGAAGCTGTGTCGCCGACTGCTACTGCTGCTGCTGCTACCTGGGCCGGCCATTGGGGCAGCTCTCTCAACCCTATAAACCCTGTAAACCCTGTAAACCCTATAAACCCTATAAACCCTATAAACCCTATAAACCCTATAAACCCTATAAACCCTATAAACCCTATAAACCCTATAAATCCGATAAACCCTATAATTAAACCCCATTAACCCTACACGCCCTATAAACCACATAAACCCTCAAAACCCCAAAGGGATGCAGCCTCCTCCCTTGACAAGTAGGCTTTTGTCTTTTTTTGGGGTTTAGGGCTTAGGGTTTAGGGTTTGGGGGGTTTCTGAGGCCTAATTACTCATCCCGGTTTGGATACCATATACATCTAAGGGCCCATCCCTAAATCCTGAACCCTATACCCGACACCCGAAGCATGGCAACATGCAACCCTGCCAATGTGTTTTTGGCGCCCTCTTTAACTGATAGGTACACCAAAGAACTCCCTGACAACAGTCCATGCGGGTAAGAGACATTAAACCTCCGCAGGCGCATGCTAAGGGGATCGAATGGGTTAGGCCTGAGCTGCATGTGGTTAGGGCTTGCACCCGTAAATGCCCTTTGTAATTACGCATGTCGGTGCGGATAGCCTGTCTATCAAACATCTTACGCCGCAGGTGATCGAGGGGTTCCGTGTCGTTACTGCAGCATGTAGAATTTAATTGCCGATTGGTCCGTTCCGTAAAGCTGGCAGGCATCGCCGACAAACTCGCAGATCTTCACATCCTCTTTGCTGCGATGCGGCTGTTTAAAGTGAGTGAGGGCGCGCGATTGACTGTCAGTGGGCAACAGCAGAAACGGGGTTTCCGAACGCAATGCCTTCTGCTTCTTTGCATCTAGTCGATGACGGGCTCCGGCCAGTTCTCTATGGAGTATCCCAGCTGTGCCTGCCAGGCTTTTAGCTGCTCCAGAATTGCAGGATCCAGCGACAGAAGAGCTGCATGTGCAGTCTCCATGCAATCAGGGTCGTTCGGGTGTTCGTGGCCAATCTCAGGATGCCGATGCAAGTCCTCCAGTTTCGCGCTGTCCGCAAGCTCTTGCAGGACGGTCTCGGAGACCAAGCCGTCAAAGAAGTGCCTCAAGAGTCCTTGAATGTTTTCGTCGAAGTCGGCCGTGGACTTAGTCACCTCCTCATAGCGCATCGTGAAGGTTTCAAGCGGGGTCATCCTGGCATACATGTCGACCATGTAGCTAAACTGCCGGTGCATTTCCCAGTTCCAGAGAGTCAGCATACCGGCGGCTGGACCATTGGACCTTTGCAGCGGGTCTTCGAATGAAGAAGCCCCGGCACCAAACAGAAGAACTGAGAGAGACATGCTGCTCCAGAAACGCCTAGCTCTGGACTCTTAACTTTAGCGCCCCCTTGGAGCACCTAAGTTTGTGGTTTTAAGAACCCAGGAAAGTTGCGTCACTGCAACACCCCCGAAGTGGTTTCCAAGGGACAAGAACTCCACCCACGGAAAGTTTGCGAACGCTGGGTCGTCTGCCTCTTGGCCTCGCATGGAAAAGCAATACGCCGAAACCAGCATGTCCTTCGGCTTCCTTATGGCATGCACAGCCCGAAGGTCCAGGTTCTGTCTCCTAGCCGTGGCGCGCACCTGCTGCACAGTGTCAGGGCTAGGGTTTGCGTGTACCTGGATTGTGGAGTTGGGATACTCGTCGCAAGGCACGCTGTTGTTGGTCACGTTCATGTGAGGGACGGTGCTACAGCATTGTGGCGATCCGAGGTCTCGGAAGATCAGCCTCAGCACTTGTGCCAACAGCACGCTGCCGGACTTGTGGTGCTCCTCAGCTGTTCTTGGATTTAGGGTGTAGGGTTTAGGGTTTAGGGGTTTGGGGTTTAGGGGTTAGGGGTTTTAAGTGTAACGGTTGATTATAACCCGCAAACACTGCAAGGTTTCCAAATCCATCGTGGGCGCTGCGACGAAGTACATGCGAACATCCCAGGGTTTCGGTGCCTTCGGCAGACCTTTTCGCCTGGAGACGCGCGACTGCACCAGGGACATCTGGGGCTTGCCAGAATCACAGCTCTCGCCCCACACTCCCAGAGACACTCTGGGGATATCGGTTGGCATTGCACCCGAACCATCTCTGTTAACTTTGGTCGCCTCAAGGGTCGAAGCCCAAGTCAGCCAACCACAACTTCGAAGCAGCAGGAAGACAGTAAGATGCAGGCCGGGCAAATGCGCCATCATATGGAGCGACGAGGCTGTCAGTGGGATTTCTGCACAGCCCTCATAGGAGGCCGGGCCACTTGTGCACAGATCCTGCTGGCAGCTGGTGGTGTGCTGTTCGGGATTTGGGGGAAGCCAGCGAGAAGCCCCCTTAACCTCAATGGCAGCATGGGATGAATTGTGTATCTGTACCTGGCAGCAATACGCGAAAAACAGAGACCCCGAATGTGAGCCCACGATTTAGGTCAACCCCAACATATCCCAGCCTAGGTTTCAGGGTGTTTAGACTTCAAGACATCCGTGCAGCGTCGAAACCAGAGAGAGTTCAACAAGAGATTAGGGTTTAGGGTTTAGGGTTTAGGAATAGAATTCAACACAGGGGTTTCGGGCTATGGTCTCGGCACTAGGGTTTAGCGGAGCTTTCAACAGTGGATGCGGGTCTGGGAGGTATACCCTCCAGACCCGGCAAAGCCCGGAAGACCTAAGCCCCAAACCCTGGAAACCCTACTACAACGAACTCCAATGTTAGACCCTAAACCCTAAACCCTAATTAAACCCTAAACCCTAAACCCTGTAACCCTGTTTAGCAGCAAGGCCCACAACTGTTTTCTTGAGCCGGGGGCTGCTCTTTCTCTTGGCTTTCTTGTTCCGATCTTGCCGGTCCTCGCAGACGGGGGCGCGTGGGGGACTGTCTTATGGGTCTAGGGCTAAGAACCCTAAACCCTAAACCCTAAACCCTAAACCCTAAACCCTGCAAACCCTAAGCCCTAAGCCCTAACCCTCAACCCTAAAACCATATGGGTTTCGTGATGTGGCAGGCGTCGAGCTGAAGTGTGAGACACACACACACAGACGAGGACTGCGCAGTTGCTGAGGGCTGAATCTGATAATGCCCGCTCATTCTCACTAGCGGCAGTAGCCACTACTCATAGAAGTAGGCAGTGGAGAAGTAGTAGCAGTACCATCATCGTCATCGTCGGGATTGTGGCTTGTGGCAGAGCCTTCGCACAGGTAGGACTGAACTGGGGGCACTGTTTGGGCTGCGGAGCCCAGGAAGTATCAGTGTCAGGGTTTCAGGGTTTTCGTATTCACGCGTGCTTGGCGCAAACGAGGCAAGGTTTAGAGACAGGGGCTCGCATTTCTTGCTTCTTTGAACTTCCGGGGCTTGCTGGTGTGGAGCAACCTAAACAATGCAAACCCCCCCAAACCCAGGCGATGCCAGCTGGGCCACGCACCTTCCCGCGACTGCGGCTGCGATGTCCTCGGCGATGTCGATCTTGGTCTCGACGATCCTGGTCTCGACCTGCAGCCACTGAATGTAGGGGTCGGAATAATTACTAATGTTCCCGTATGGTCCCTTTTCAAAATATACGATAATCACCCCCAAATCCCTGTTCTAATGACTATTAAGGCCCCTATATTAGTTTAGGCTTTGAAGGCTTATGACTGAGGTTTAGGTCTTCGGTGTTTTCTGAGCTGGAACCGCCGGTTTTTGAAAGCGTCAAGCCGTCAAGCACGTAAGTAGTCCAGAGGGTGTGAAAGTCCTGGTCTTCTCCTTGTCCTCGTCCCACAAAAAGCGAAGACCACCCCCATCAGCAGCCAAACTACGAGTGTTTAGGGCGTTGGTTGCAAGGTTTACGGCCGAACCTGGAGGGTCGAAACCCTTGATATGTTTAGTGGCGGAGGGTTCCGAGGCAGGGTCATGGCGGGGCCAATCAAATCGTTCTGGCCTTTTTTCGGATTCGCTGCCTCAAGGAATTGATGCCTGCTGTGGGTAAGCTCGCAACTCTCAGGCCTTGCAAGAGCCAAGAGGAACCTGAAACAAAAGTTCCTCTGGGGTCCTTGCCGAGGTACCACTTGTATTGTTGTATGATAATGTTATCTTATGCTTATTAACCCTAAACCCTAAACCCTAAACCCTAAACCCTAAACCCTAAATCCTAAACCCTAAACCCTACCCCCTAAACCCTATATTGGCATCCACCACTCCAGGCCCCCCAGCCGCCGTGGCCATGGCGGCCTCGATCGTCTCGGTCGCGGTCCTTTGGGTCACGTGGGGGGAACCCTATAACCCGATAACCCTATAACCCGATAACCCGATAACCCTATAACCCTATAACCCTATAACCCTAAACCCTATAACCCTATAACCCTAAACCCTATAAACCCTATAGCCCAACCGTAAGCCCTAAGCCCCAAGGGTTTAGGGTTTAGGTTTTTGGGTTTAGGGGTTCAGGGTTCAAGGTTTATCTCGCAAAACCCTAGACCCAGAGTTTGCCTGCTTGAACAACCCCAGGCCCAAAACCCGAAGTTGGGAGCTGGAGGTTACCGGGCTCAGGTCAGAGCTGAAAATTCCGAAGCAGAAGGGCACTGCAACCCTGAACCCTAAACTGCCAGAATTCAGGGCTTATAGGTGTTGAGTTTGGTACGAGTATAGAGTTTCAGGATGCCCCGATCCAGACCATCAACCGCCAAAGCATCCCAAGCCAAGCAGGGGAGAGCCCCTGAGGAAACCTGAGCGAACCTGGGGCAACACAGTTAAACACGGCGCGCCTTCCGCAAGCGATCACCCCTTGGCGTCCAGGAGGCCAGAGGGGAGTAGCAAGAGTCTGGAGGTCATCAGAAGCATGCGCTTTTTTGAGTGGCTTACCTGAAGAAATCTGTACGAAGAAGACAAGAAGGCCGCGCTTTTTCGACAGAGCCGAAGCTAGCTGGCAACGCCAAGAGCAACCGTTTCGCGCATCGTGACACGGGCGCACCGAGCCTTGAAATGGGCGCTAAGAGTCCGTGCTTGCACCCTCTCTCTTAGCGGATAACTCTACCACCCACACCTGAGCATCCCGAACCCAAAACCACTTCATCCTCCCAAGGCCTTAGAGCCAAGATTGCAGTTTTGACGAAAGTTAAGGCTTTGGGCTTCCCTGAACCCTAAGCCCCAATTCCCTTTGTGTGACGCTTCACTGGTCCAGTGCCTGAGGTGGCGGTTCCCTGCACTTCCATGGTCCGAATTGAGTTGTGTTCTGACAGGGTTCTTGAAACCTAAGTAGTAGGTCCCTGGAAGCACAGGGATTGATAGTATCTGGGACTTCTGGGTGTATAGGAGCCTGGGGGTGACACTCTAGAACTCTGCAACTGCCCAAAGCCCGCAACAAACACACATATATGTCCCCACACACACACACACACACCTTCACAAGACCCTGACCATATGTTCATGACCCGACCCTCGCAGCTCGGCGCGTGGCATGAGATCTCTGGAAGAAAACAGGTTGCTACCTTTGGCGTCGAAATCGCGGCTGTCCTGCAACAAGGCCGCGTGCCAACACCGGCCGTTGGGGGAACGAATCAAAGGGCGCGGTCTCATCCAACCCAACCTGAGACTCCTGCACGACACCGAGCATCGGGTTCGGCCCGATAACTCTTGAAACTGCCCCATTTCAGGTTGGCATTAGGGTCTAGGGTTCAGGCTGGTAATGGTAAGGCTCGGCATTCTGATATCAGCACATGAATGAAGGGTGTTGAACATAGTGTCCACGGCGCGGAGGAAGCACCCAAACCCCGCAATCCCTGCACACACCCCGTAAGTCCTATAAACTTTAAGCCGGTCGAAGCCCGCAACCAGAACCACGACTCGCTTTGGGGATTTCAGCTCCGAGGCTAAGAAGCGTAGCGCGCCCTGGATCGCTTGCGAGTTGAAAGAGTCGTATTCTTGCTCAATGGGCAGTTTAAGGGAGCCTCGACAAAACATCTTTAAAAGCAGGTCACAAGTGGTCTGGGGCGTCTGGGGTCTAGGGCGTAGGGCCTAGGGTGCGGGATTTTGGGTTCAGAGTTTAGGTCTATGGGGCTTTCGGAGCGCTGCAACTCGTGGCGCAAACAGCAGTGTGTCCTGAGTTTTCGCGGGGGCATTTCGCCACTCCGCAGCCACCTGATTCCAGCTACGAAGGCGGGACATTCATCGTTGCAAGCCTCCCAGCTACGGCGCCCACATGCGCCCGTGAACCCCTAAACCCTAAACCCCCTAAACCCCTCAAAACTCTAAACCCTGTAGATCCCTAGAAGCCTCGACTCCGCAGACCCCAACAAACCTACCTGTCCTTCTGAGGGCCTTGGCTGCAACCACAGAGCAAAGCTCATAACGCTTCATGTACAAAGTGTCGTCGTCTTAACGTCTTCAGATCGTGAGGGTGTAGCATTTTTGGGCTTTGGGCTTTAGAGTTTAGGGTTTGGGGATCGGAAAACCCCCACCTAACAGAATTGCCTGAAAACTGGTCAGGTCCCTAGCTCAGCAATTAAGACCAGGAGGGAAGATTTCTACGTGCCCTGAAACAGGTTCCCGGCATATGTCGGCTGCACACAACGGGACCATAACTCAAAAATCCCGACGCCCCAAGGCCTACAGTAAACCCTGAACGCTAGACTCTTTAGACCGCTTTGAACCCTTGAATTCCCTGAGATCCTACACCGCCTTCACGCCATCCAAGTAGATCTGTCCCGCATTCACAGCATTGAGGGCGGCCTTCGCTGTCTGGCTGTTACCCTAAACCCTAAACCCTAAACCCTAAACCCTAAACCCTGAACCCTAAACCTTAAACCTTAAACCCTGAATCCTAAACCCTAAACGGGCGTGGGGGAGTGGGGTCCGAACTTTGCTCGTGCCCTTCTCATTCCCTCCAAAGGCGGCCAGCCTACCCACAGTCTTAGAAGCTTACACCCTACTCCCCCCTTGGCAACCCACGTGGCACCAACCTAGATCAAACCCCGGTAGGCCTAGGGTGGCAACCGCTTAAGTCTGCAACCCGGAGCTGTCAAGCGCATGTTGCTTTTTCGTGCCCTGGTGTTCTCCGGCCGGGTCTCGGCGAATGCAAGTATGGAGGCTCAAGTCTACAGAGACGTCTTATCTCTGACAGAAAAAAGCCGTTAAGCTCAACACGATGATGATCTTTTCCTATTGTGTCAGAAGAGCCTCATACTCGCATGCTCCTGCTTTGCCTCAGCTGCTATCTGAGTCGGAGCTTCCCGAG